CTTTTATTGACCTCGCTGTTTCTTACTCTCTCAGTTATCCTTTGCAACCTAGTCGTTTTGTGGCTTTGCTTGGGGTGAAATGATTAAATTATTTTCTGTTTCAGATTTCTTTGTATAAATTGCAGGAATGGCTATTTGGTCTTGACGTAATCCGCATTTAAATATGTTATTGTTAGTATATTACTAACATATGTAATTTTGTTTTCTTTTTAATCGGTATGTACACCCTTGAATTCAGTTATTATTTAATATTTTTCGTATTTTTCCAATGAAACATGACTCAGTGCACAATTAGGTAATTCGTATGTCCATTCCACAAAGTCGTTCCTTGCAGTTTGGCCACAGATTCTCGAATGGATTTAAATCAGGAGGTTTTTCGAGCCAATCGATAGTACTTTGATTTACTCATAGGTAAGGCTTGCCAGTGCATTCGTGCAGCATTACAACTTTCATACGCTTTTCTTGGAGTAATGTCCATCGCAGCCATGGCCGTAGGACAACTAATCGACACTCGAGACATTAGTGTCTGGGCGTAATGAAAATCTGATGCAATCACGGATGATGCAATATTTTCCAAGGCCAAACAAATTTCATCATACACCCCGAAAATACATTCATATTACTGCACACCACTGTAAATGACCTAATCCGAGAAGAAAATAGAAATCTGTTACGCCCTTTCACCCACTGAGTCTAAAACTGACCGTATGGTGGATGAAAGGAAACTAAAGCGGTTGTTTCCATTTTCACAAGTGTGTACTTTTATTTTATTCTAGTTAGAGTGTTGATAAGAGAGGAACGAAACTGATTAACACCCAACGTTCTTTTTCTTCTGGATGTTTAGCAAAGTTATTTCCTTAACTAATTCCTTAGTAAAATAATATTCTATCTCCGCTACTATTTTGGTCTTGAGCTACACTAAGCTAAGCTTTATAAATTGTTAAAAATTGAACATGTTTATAGAAAGAGAATCGATACACTTATTGATAAAAAAGACAGCCGGTTGTGTCAAACCTGCAAAACTTGTTCAGCATTTATGCGCCATGTTCCTTAAGAACGTGGGTGAACATGGATTTCCACACCTTTGAGTTCTATTGCAACATTTAACTATTTCCCAACCTTCTTTGCCGACGAGGGAGTTTACTTTGCTTGACAACTTTGGGGTTGACCTACTCACTTCTACCTTGTATTTTGGGATCAAACGTGTACATACTGTAATCATAGTTGTGAAAACATCACTGTCAGATGAATGTAAACTTAAAGATAAAACTTAAAGAGGGCGGAAGAATTGATCGGCCCAGGCAGTGTGCTAACATCGACTACGCAACAAAGAACAGATTCCAGTATTAGAACAATTTAGTATTTGTTAATGGTAATGGTAATATTAGCTGTTTCCTCGAAAGGAAATATTTAGCATTTATTGACCAAGCACCTAATGATACGGTCAGTTGAAATTTATAAAAAAAAAAATTCAGGAAAATAGGTTTCACAATTTCACTGTTATCGTTCTTTCCATTATAGATGAAGATTTCCTTCCTAACCTTATTTCGTCCTGGTTATGACGATAAACTACATCCGGCAGCAAGGCCTCTTATCAGGAGATTGGAGGCTTTGAGGAGCGGGAATTACCAGTTAATTGATATTGTTCCCAGATCTACCCTAACTTAGGGTAATAGTACATGACCCCCACCAAACAAAAATCAACAGTACAGTTTTTATAATAAAATGAGCAACAATAGATTTTTATAGCAAAATAACAATCAATGCAGCGGTAAAAAAAATATAAAAAAGGATTTTATAACAAAATTACTAACAATATATTTTATGATCTACAAACTATATATATCTAAAAAAAATATAACTTTACCCTGAAAGTATAAAATTATGTAAAAGATACATAAATTTCGGCATTAAATAACCCATAGAGGTGTTGATATACCGCTAAACAAAATTAATCAACCAACCTAAACATTTTGTTTGAAAAGATATAGAAAGTTAGCATCTTGATCATATCATCATTTACTAATCTAATTACATGTTATCATTTCAGCTATTGCTGTTGTTGAAAGTCTTCAAGTGATAGTTTCCGTTATATGGTATAGTCATTTTTAAGACACTGTAGCGCCAGCCCATTTATTGGTCAGATTATTTACAATTCATCCTGGGGTGTTATGCAGAATTGACATTAATTAAAATGCTGTACTTTTACCAATAATTCATTGGTACTGACAGCAATCAGACATTAGTAGTCTGCCATTCTATGAAACCAGAAATAGTTCCCACATTGCCGAAAGATCCTTAACGAAGAAACGAAACTATTTCTGTCTTGGGCGATATAAAAATGAAATCCACCTCCATTCCCGATGGACCAACTCCGCAAAGATTAGCATAATCTGCACTGTTGCACAAGCGAGACACTATATAATTTCCAACACAACCACTACAATCTCCCGTTCCGTCTCCGACTCCATTATTCTAAGCCTGTCAGAAGATATCCCATATGAGGTACGGGCGGGATAGATATCGCTTTTCCGATTTTGGCATTTTTGTCGGCATCATCATCTTGTTCGCAAAACATCAACGGGACTGTTTCTCCTCGAGTTTGTTTTTCTTCTGTCGCCATAAAACTCTCCTCCCCTTTCCCTATATGTTCGCGTGTTTCGCTCTCTCTCTCTCTCTCTCTCTCTCTCTCTCTCTCTCTCTCTCTCTCTCTCTCTTTTGCCTGTCTCTCTGTTCATCCCTCGCATTTTTCATCATCAATTCCTCCTCTCAACTACCGTCTCTTCTTGTAATGTTCATTATCTATGCGGGCAATATCGATCCTCGCCAAACTCGGCCTCAGCATACGCTATCTCTAGCCGGGACAGACAAAGACAAGTTAAAATGGACAATAACTTTCCTGTGGGGGTATCAAAAACTGGCCGACGCTGGTCACGTGGCTCACATATAATTTAAAATGTCTGAATTGGCAGCGGGCAGAGGACTGGAAGTGAAAAGTCGATTAGAAATAAACTCGTCGCAGTTTTGCTTCAGAAAAGTATACTATCTCTAAATATCTATCTATCTATCTATCTATCTATCTATCTATCTATCTATCTCTCACAGTCTGTTTCTTATCTATCTATCTATCTATCTATCTATCTATCTATCTATCTATCTATCTATCTATCCCTCACAGTCTGTTCCTTATCTATCTATCTATCTATCTATCGTTTTCGGTATATCATTTAAACTTATATATAACTGAATATTTCCTCCTCCTCTCTCTCACTTTCTCTCTCACTCTTTCTCTCTCACACGCTCTATGTGTCTATATACCCAGTCTATTTCTTCTATCTATCAATATATCTATCGTTTTCTATATATCATTTATATTTATATATAGTGAATATTTCCTTTCTCTCCTTTCTCTCTCTCTCTTTCTCTATCTGTCTATATATCCCAGTCTATTTCTTCTTTGTTTCTTTTTTTCTATCTATCGTTTTCTATCAGTTATACTTATCTATGTGAATATATCCTCCTCCTCCTCCCTCCTCTCTCTCTCTCTCTATACACACACACACCCACACACACACACACACACATATATATATATATATATATACAAACATACATACATATATATATATATACATATATATATATATACCAGTCTATTTATATATGTCTATCCCAGTCTATCTATCTATCTATCTATCTATCTATCTATCTATCTACTTTTATATTTGTGTTACTCTTTATTCTTCAACATCTATTTTTATTCCCCTTTCTTTACACACACTCACGCACACACGCACACATACATCTATTGTCACTCTGCTCTTGGTCATAAATTCTCTAAAATGTCTGTATATGTCTATAAAACAAAGCCAAACAACAAAAAATACTGTCAGATTTTCTAGAAATTTATGCTAAATTCCAAATATATTAATGACAGGTTAATAGGATTTTGTAAAATTTTGAAATTGGTCATGAATACTTAATTTTATATTATCAACAAAAGAACAACCAAAAAAAACACCATGTGAAACTCCATTTCATTATAATGACACATCACGGACTTCACATTTGATTTCCGAGAAAAATTCGCAGAGAAAAAGAAATGGAATTTGTCAGCGCACACTAGATAAGATAAGAAATATTTTACTTTCATACTGAAAATCATTGTATGCTTCCATACATCATGTTTGCAGCTAAATTAAATGCAAATACGAAAAAATACAAAAACGAATAGGACTGCTATGCCTATTGTCCGAGCCAGCTATAATAGCTTTTACCAAGTCTACAGGCATCTCATCTGAGCAGCGTGTGCAAATTGAATATATACCGACATTTTCCGATAACTTTTTCGGCTAAATTTTCGACTATATGCATATGAAGAGCATGTGACTGCATCAAGATTACATTAAAAACTAAATGGTATGGTAGAAACTATTTCATTGTGAAAAATTCAACTAGGTCGTTGTATTATATATGTATATATATATATATATATATAGAGAGAGAGAGAGGGAGAGAGAGAAGATTAATTAAAACAATATAAAGTTTCACCTTTAGCTGATTGTTATTAGCTAAAGCATCCCGATAACAGAGCTTCGTAGACGGATCTCCAGCAATCACTCCGTCCACTCGTCAGAGGGTAACAGCAATTAACTGTTTATATTTGTAGTTCTTTTTATATTTTCACTTTTAATGTGTGCAAGGTTGATTTTTTTTTCTTTCATATATATCTATCTATATATATATATATATATATATATATATATATATATATATATATATATATATCAGTGAATATTGAAGTTTACACACAGCGTCGGCAGTCTGTTTCATGCTATACGCAATTATCAGGTCACACAGACATGCGTACACACACACACACACACACACACACACACACATATATATATATATATATATATATATATATATATATATATATATATATATATGTAACAAATATTGTATTTGGCAAAAGTATTCCGTCAGTATATAGCACACCGAATAGCCAACAAAACCTAACTAGTTAGAACCGTTCACTCTATAAACATTTTACTTAAAATTTATTTTATTTTCTATTTATACATATATTCGTGTCCATACCGGGGAGACCTCCAATAAATATTTGTATGTAATTACAGTATCTAATAGATAAAACCGAACAATTTCAAATTAGATTACATGATACAATGACATTTATCGACGGAACTATTTTCGAAGACAAAAATTAATGTTTTTTAATAGAAAATCAAGCAGCAACTTTTAAGAAATCTATGATCATTGTAAATAAATTCAGTTTTACTATCTGATCCCCTCACAAGCGAATACTACTCCTGTGACATTCTGAGTCTAGAAGGAAAGTTGATTTAATTGCATCTCCCACTCATATATGATTATTTGGGTCTTACAGGTAAACTAAATCAGTGTGGAGAAAATTGATTTAGCAACGTTGAAATAACCCCGGGCAATTAACAACAGTGACAATTACGAACTGTGTAATCTATTATTATGCACAACTCATTTTGGTTTCTTGAACGTTTTTGTTTTTCAACCGATATATTCTTCCAAGTTTTCTAAAATTTGCAAGGACTCCAATATATTTACTCAATGTAGTACACACACATCTATCTACACACACACACACACATATATATATATATATATATATATATATATATATATATTCGGGGAAAAACTTATGATAAAGTGGAAAAAAGTTTTGGTGTGACGCGTTTCATCCTTTGGGACATCATTGGAATAAGTATATGTTTACACATGCGCACGAACGACAAACGCTGGGAATTTTTTATTTCATTTTTTTTTTTATGTGTTTTCGGAATATAATCTAGCCGGACACAGTTGAGGATCTCGTGATTAAAGCACTTTTGTTTTTATAAAATGTTCTCACTTTTACTTGTTGCATTTTAAAATAAAAATTGTTATCAGTCTCGTTACAGTGAGCAACTAATATAAAATGATTACATATTGTTTTCTCTACTCGATGAATTAATTATGATTATGTCAAATCTTCCTATTTATTTCTATCTGTATATCCTTGCTTGAACCGGCTTCTAATGCTCTAGACTGAGCGGCTCAGTGATAGTATTGGTGACTCGGGGGCGGAGGTGTACAGTCCTATGGGTAAAGAGAAACTCGGATGAGTTCCACCACGGAATATGTGATCGAGCGCTGCTATATCGAGTCTGATTCGCTACGACTTCGTTACCTAGGCCCGTTGGAACATTCGGTATTTTACGTTTGCCTGATAACGTAACAGTCCGGGTTTCAATTCTCAGTAATGGATGCACACTGCTGATGAGTCCCAAATATAGGACGAAACGGCTTTCCAGTGCTTTCTGCATTCTGTTGAGGTTTCTTCTAGGCTCGATGTATTACTTAATTATGATTATTTCAAATTCACCTATATATATATATATATATATTATAAATTAATTTATTTAAAATATGTTTTTTTTTCGCTACACAGTTCCAACCATGTTTCAAAAATAGAAGCTAAAAACCCCGAATTTAATTTTGCAATTAAATTAAAAGCATTAGTTCCATTTCATCTTCAAGCGAATATATATATATATATATATATATATATATATATATATTCCTCACCAGTAGCACGACTCGGAGTATCATGTACAACGCCATCTTCAGTTACTGACCAGGGAGCACCATTTTATTAACACCAGCACACAATGATCTTATATCTATTCACAGGCTTCTCTTTGACTGTCGAAATCATATCTCCCCTAATGCAGAAAATCAATGTTCCTGACAGAGCCTCTGTGTAAGGATAATATTGTAAATATTTATGAGGACAAATATTGAATGTTTTAATACTTGAATGGGTTTGTGTTTCTTTTAAAATAATAGAAATGCAATAATTTCTCAACACTGCCTTGATTTTTGACATATCAGATTGTCATGGAAATTCATATAACATAATGCTTGAATAAAAGTTGATCAAAAAAAGGTTTGATAAATCACAGCTAAATATTAAATGCAAAAATAGATTTGAAAATAAAAAAAAATTGTCTTTGAAAATCATTGGTCTCCATGAAATTAATGCATTTCTATCTTGAGGAAATTAACTAAAAACTAGTTTTGTCTATTTATCAGATAACTAAAGTAGCAATGCAGAGTTCATAAATTTTTGCAACAAAAGTAGTATAATGCAAGTCATCCATGAAGTACGTTAATTATAAAGAAAAAGATACTATTTATTTTCTGAAATATTTTTATTGACACTTTTCTTGGGTTTAGCCATTTTTTTCTTGTCCACGTGAAGAGTTTACGTCAGCGGTGCAGCAATTCATCGGTACTGACCTTAGACAGGATCAGAATGGTGGTGTCATCTATGAAAACTTTAGAAGCAGGGAGGACATTTTTTTTCCTTAGTCGTCACTCCCTTTGCTGTGACCGCTGTACCCCGTAATATGAGTTCCATGGACATAATGAAAGAAGTAGTGAAATCAGATCCCATCATGATGCCGATCTAAAAAGCCTCGCTAGCGTAGTTATCAACGACGACCTGCATAAACACTGTTCTGAAAAAATTCTAGTTGAAAGCATACACTTACGTTAAAAATATTTGGACTTGGGCATTAAATAACCCATAGAGGTGTTGATACGCCGCTAAAGGATACCAATGCATCAATAAAACAACCAACATGAAAGATTTCTTGTCATGACATTAGTCCTTAGAATATTCTACAATGTCTTAAATCAAACGGTATTCCACAATATGACTTCAACAAAATTACACCATAAAACACACATATTACCGCCTGTAGTAATTATCTTCACACAAACATGTATATTCACAAATCATCTACCATGTATATAATTGTGAAAGCAGAATAACGTATATTATATTTTTATTACTTAAAAGCTCCCAAGAAAATTAAATTTCGGTATGCAATGACAAACAGGTCAATTAGCCAGCATATATAAATAGTCGATTCAACATACATGGGGGGGTTCAAGATTGCGTTCAAGCAAGAAACAGAGTATCGCCGCTCGGTTCTCCCCTTTATTCATACGCTCTATCCCTGATTATTGAGAACTTTTACCCATGAAGTGTGCATACCTCTAAACTATATTTTATCACGTCATTCATCTATATATATATATATATATATATATATATATATATATATATATATAATTCGAAAATATTCTTTTAAGTAGGCGCCCAAGGGGTCGTCAGTGATGTTTTGATTTGGTTCATCAGGGGAGTTTCGGGTCTTTCAACATCATACACCCTATCACCAAATCGACCCAATCAGGGGAGATCAACCCCTGATTCCCCCTCACAATTAAACGCTAACAGCTACTCTGGCCTCTTTAAAGAATAAGAGGAAGAAAGACCACATATTCCGCACATCCGATTGGATGTTTGTAACAACCAATCCGCTGCGCGAACTATTTTTTAAATGGCCCGCGGTGGGGACTGGCTTCTTTTCTTATTTCGGTGGATTGCAGTTTGGCGAAATTTCCATATATATATATATATATATACATATATATATATATATGGAAATTTGGCCAAAGCTTTGTGAGTGAAATTGGATAGACGGAATCCTTGGCGGCCGTCGATGTCTGTGCTAGCACGAAGTCACAAGTCATCATGGCCGAGGGCTTGAGAGTGCTGGCCTTGTTCAAATTGTTGATAACGCTAGATAACACGCTCTTTCCCAGAAACAGTAACTAAGGTATACTCAGTATATTTGCAGTACAGTTGGGCTCAGTGGGTGTTGAATAAACACAAATGAACCTGCGCAAATATCTGTAATAGGGATTGGCTAGCCACCCTAGCAG